CATTCATTCAAGCAGCATTAACTGAGCACCTACTGTGTGCCAAGTGCTCTGAGAGCGAACCAAAAGGGCACCCCTTCTGATCTCTCTTACCTTCTGTGGGTAAAATTGTATCATATCCAGAATATCTCACCTGGCTTTAGTACATCTGCATATCAACAGGCGCTCAAGGGTGGAGAGAAGTACTGCTTTAGTGCATTTGCATCATTCCTCAGAGGTGGAGAGAAGTTCATCTCCATATCAGTGGATAATTACTTGGGCAACCAAGGCCTTATTGTTACCTGAGAAGTGAGGGGGGAGGGCCAGTTTTCCTTCTGCTGGAGCAGGAGAGAGAGAAGGCCCCAGACTGCAGTTTGTAAGCAATAAACGGGTTTTAAACTTTATTTCTCCCTTTGACTGATTTTGGTTTTTAGAGATATTTTGCCCCGGGATTTCCTCTCCCTGGACTTACATCTGGCATAGTCAGCAGGACTCCCCTGAACCCCAAATCTGTCAAAATGGGTGCGACCTTAGGGAGGGCCACCCCTAGAAACGATGGGGAGAAGTGGCACTCGTGCTGAGGGACGTGTTTCTACACACATGTGGTAGTGGAGGCACCACCACCACTGCTGGCTGTGCCAACCCTGGCCCGTGGCCCAAGCCTAAGGCTACTGCTTCTGCCACTGCTGCTGCTCCTACTGCCAGCTGGAGCTTTGTAACAACTATGGAAAGGAGCAGATGTCCGGGTCACCTTGATAGAGAAGCAACTGGCTGCTGTGTACCACGCCTTGCTGGCTACGGAGCCCATCACCAGAAAAGCTCCGACCAAGGTAATAACCAACTATGCCATGACAGGGTGGGTGAGAGACTGAACCCAAAGGCCACAGAGTGGTGTGGCACCAACACCTACCATCTATCATGTGACTGGCCATTTGCCTTTGGCATCCCCAGGGAATGATGCAGCAGACACATTGGCTCAGGTGCACTGGCTAAAAGGAAAGCCTGCCTCTGATGTGGCCCAATGGCTACATCAGCGTTTGTTGCACATGGGGCCAAAGACAATGTGGGCGCATTGGTGGGGCTTGCCATTGATCTTTGAAGAAGTCAGCTGGGCCTGGAAGGAGTGCTCTGCACTTTGTGCAGATCAGCTAACCACCAAGAGGGGCCTAGAGGGTCTCTTTGCAGCCTATGGCCAGCCACAGGTCATTAAGAGCAATCAAAGCACCTTTATTGGACATGCGTTGCAAGGATGGGTGCAGCAATTGCAGCAATTGGACATTTAGACACATGGACCGGCAATGGCTGGCTCTTCTGGCACCTTGGGGAAAAGGCCTGGAAGCTGGCCTCCTGTGTATTCCTGGAATAATAGTAAAGTGGTCCTGCACAATCACAGTTATTTGCTTCTAGAGTACTTGTGTCCTGGATGCACCCCCTGGCTGTAGCTTCCATGTGATGGATGGAATGGACAAGCTTTGGACTTAATCTGCATGGGACTTTGAACCTAGCTGAATCCTCTGATTTGAGAATTATCATGATTGTGCTGCTGTTGTCAAGAAAAAATTGCCTAAAGAGAGGCTTGACTTTGTCTAATGTTTGGTAAAAGTTTTATGAGGAATCTATCATGGTTGTTAGGAATGAGTAAACAAGTGTAAAAACATATTTTGTGCTTAGTGAGAGATTGTGCTATAAAGTACATTTACTTAATGTGCATAGGCTGAATCCTCAGGCTTGAGGATTATCAATATTTTATTGTTGCTATTGTATGTTATTAGATTGGTCGGAAGAGGGGGAATGAGTAAATTGTAAGGCGAGATTTCTGGAGGGGTGGCCTATGGGTAAAATTGTAGTATTTCCAGAATATCTCGCCTGGGTTTAGTACATCTGCATATCAACAAGCACTCAAAGGTGGAGAGAAGTATGGCTTTAGTGCATTTGCATCATTCCTCAGAGGTGCAGAGAAGTTCATCTCCATATCACTGGGTAATTACCTGGGCAAGGAGGGCTTAACTGTACCTGAGAAGTGAGGGGGAGGGCCAATTTTGCTTCTGCTGGAGCAGGAAAGAGAGAAGGGCCTGGAAAATGGATTTTAAACTTTATTTCTCCCTTTGACTGATTTCGGTTTTTAGAGGTATTTTGCACCAGGATTTCCTCTCCCCGGACTTACACCTTCCTTAGGCTTCAGCCCTGCTGTCATTCAGGTCCCAATTAGCCCTGGCTTCAGGTGGGGCCTTAAGGAACCAGAGAGGCCCTGTGTTCCCACCCAGCCTCACCCTCCCCCTGGGGAAGACTTTGAGCAGGGGACCAGGGGTGTAGTCAGAGTAGGGTGGGGGCCTCCAGAAGAGACAAGGCAGGATAATTACAGTCAGAGCAATGTAACTACATGCAAGGAAACCCTCCTACCAAAACTCTGTGTTAAACATTAAGCTCTAGAGTCATTCTTCAGTGAGATCACTTAATATTCCCCAGATAAAGAAAAGTACCCCATTTTTAAAATTATGCTGATCATTTGTAATCACGTATAAGATTCACTTTAGCATGCTAAAAGGCCCAGGCCTATGTGCTGTTTTTCCACCTTCAGACCTGATAAGGTGATTTGAAATCTGGACAATTAATAATGGCAAGCAAACTCAGCCATAAACAACATCCTAAGAAGGATTACATCTTAAAAATAAGATTGCACTTTAATTCCCAGGAAGTTAAGAAGTAATATTCTTAACTTACTCTTTAGCAAACAGACAATAGCTCAGCTGACCTTGGGGGATGGGCAGGTGGTCTTGTTTGATATGCTCCCAGACCAAGCCACCAGTATCTCAGGAAGAAATTGGAGCAGTAAATTTCTTGTATTAATTTTAAATATTCAGGGACCAATTAACAAGTCCACACCCCTAAGCCCTTTATCACATTCCCCCAAATCCTCAACTGCCTATAAAACCCCTAGACAATGCACAACTACTGGCTCTCTTATCCCCTCCTGGTGTGAGCCAGGAGCTCTGTCCTCTCACTTTGTCTAAATAAAAGCCTCTCCCTCACTCTCCTACCTTGAGTGTTTGCTAAGTTCATTCTTGGACTCCACAAACAAGAACCCCATCAAGTTCTCAACCTCTGACCCCCAAAGGAAATCAGGAAATCAGTACCAGTCCCCACCAAAGCTCCTGGGTCTTTAGAGCCCCCAGGGCGGCTCAGTGCAAGAGTACCAGGCAGCGTGTCAGACAGGGAAGATGAGTCCCGAGTCTTCATTACTTGCTGTGTGACCTTGTACCAGGATGGAAGACAGGACCGTAACAGCCTCCACTTCATGAGCATTGAGTAGGACCATGCTAAAGTGTCTTAGCCCAGTGCCCAGCACACAGTACGCTCTGAATAAATGCTGGCTGGTATCACTGTGGTTATTAATATTCCCACCCCCCACTCCCATAAAAGGCTAAGTGGGGTCAGGATTGTTAATTCCATCCTATAAACTGGCAAATTGAGGTCCAGATGATAAAGAGATTCAAAATGTCTCTAAATGTAAGTTCAAGTACAAAGCCAGGAAGCAAGAACCAGGGACTCCCCTTACCTGTGATTTGAATTCCCCTCACCAATTCCCTAGGAAGGCAAAAGGACAGGACCATTTAATGAGCAGATGGTGCAGGAGGATTAGAATAGCCAGAGGGTCTGGGCCACCAAAACCTCAGGGGTCCTGTGTCCACCTTGGCATAGATAAGGGGCCACACAGGTAGCACTGCACTGCAGCTTGGAGCTCCAGCCACCCCTGCCAGCGAGCACAGGAGGCAAGAGACCACCAGGGACTTCTGCGCAGGGTGCTCGACCCCACCCCCACCCACCCCGCTCTGGGCCACACTGGCCAGCAGGAAGCAGCAAGCAGGTCTGGGAAGCAGGTGACCCAAAAGCCCTCATGAAGGCTCATTAAAGGGCCTTTGGAGGCTCCAACTGCAAGCTGCAGACAGCCGGATAGATGAACAGGAAGTGGAGACGGACGTTCCCAGGAAAATCCAGCCCCTCCTGCCCACTCCCACTGTCTCCTCTCCTGGATATGAGAGGGAAGGATTCCAGGGTCTGTGGGGGGCAGGGCTTAGATGGGATCGCATCCCATTATGAGCCTATTACCCTATTGTGCTAGTAAGGAGAGGCGTCCCTCATGCGGGGCATCCTCCTTACCAGGCAGTGGGCTAAACACTTTACATGTGCTGTTTCGCTCAGTCTTCACAACCGCCACTGGAAGTATGAGCCATCACTGTCTGAGTTTGGCAGATGAGGAAACCAAGGTACAGAGAGGTCAAGTGATTTATCCAAGTTAAGCACCACCCATGCAAGACCTCATTGAATTATTTTCACAACAACTCTATTTTTATAACCATTTTATAGAAAAAGAAACTATGGCTCAGAGAGGTTAAGTACCATGCATAAGAGCACACAGCTAAGAAGTTGGGAATATGACTTATGACACAGGGGCTTTTTAGCCACCCACACCCCAAGTTTGGGCTCTTAATCATCATGTTATACTGCATAATCACCAACCCCATTTTCCAGAGGAAGAAACCAGGCTCCAAGGGCCAAAGTGACTAGCCCAGGGCACATAGCTAATGATACATTTATCAGGCCGGGAGCCCAGCCTGTCTCCACACTCCAGACGCTGTTTCCTGGGATACCACACATTCCTGCACATGGGGAAGCTCCGCCTTCCGCCTCAGACCGGGCACCTTCTGACGAGAGGCTTGACACCTCTCCACTTGCAGACCTTCACACAGAGTCCCCAGTTGGGAGTGGCTCAGTGTGGAGATGATGCTTCCTCAGGCACAACTGTCTAAAAGCAGACTCATGGTAGGGAGTCTGCTGCCCCTAGGTCTGCATCAGGGACCAGAGGGAAGCGGGGTGCACTTGGGAGGCTCACTGGGCAGGTGCGGGCCTGTTGTGGGACAGCCCCAGTGGACCTGACCTCAGAGAAATTTCAAAGTTCCCCCCAGTTCCCAAGAGCGCCCCCTGGAGCCCTTGAGAGCTCCTCCTGCACCCCTTGGGAACTATCCTCTGTCCCCAGGAGTGCCAGCCTGAGGACACGTGAGGGCTTGAAGGGTGCACGGGCTCCCAGGATCGCCTCCCTCTGCTCCCGTCCTCCTCCACAGGCTGACCTCGGGCCGCAGGCCCTTCCACTAAGGGCCCTGGTTCTGCAGGGGAAGCAGAGGGACCCGCCCTCCCAAGCCGGAGCCACCGCGGCACCCGCCCCAGCAGAGGCAGCCAGGCGCGGACACTGAGGAGCCCACCGCACCGACTGCTCGCAGCGCTTGGCACTGGAGTAGGAGACCGCGTCAGAGGCCTGTGGGGAGGGCCTGCCTGCCCGCTGCCGGCAGCCGGTGTCGCTGTCCAGACAGAGCACAGGATACAGCGAGGGCGGCGGGAAAGGTAGACGGAGACATGGGGAGAGAACTTAAGAGACAAAGCAAGATGGCGGCAGAGGAGACACAGAGACAGCCAGGGAGATGGAGACTTACGAAGACAGAAGCAGAGAAAAGGGGCGACAGGGAGAGAGATAGAGAGATTCCCCCCGACGGAGAGCACACACAGAGAGGGCTGCCGCTACGAATTCAAATACAGACCTTGAGGAAGATGGACAGTGAGAAAACAGGGGAACCAACAGTTACAGAAAGAGGAAGAAGGGAAGGGAAGGCGCTGGCGGGAAGGGGACCAAGAAAGCCGAAGCAACTCAGAAAGAAGATGCAGAAGAGAGGGGGAAGCACGGGGGCGGGAGGGCTGCGGGGAGGGAGGAGGCGAGGAGGGCGGCGGGCGCCCGCCGCCCCACCCCCACGCTGGGGCATATGGCTCCTGATTTCCTAAAGGCATGAGAACGATAACCATTAATCTCTATAAATAATTTTATCCCCCGAGCCTCCTAAATGGGTTCTCTGTGTCTGTGAAAGCTTTTTAAAACCATTTGCTTGGTAAACATGCAGGCAGCGACAAAGGCTCTTCCTAACAGCCAGGGGGGAAGGCTGGGAGACCAATTAGGCCGGGGCGGGGCGTGGGGGGGTAATTAGAAGGGAGAGTGTGTGCGGAGAGCCCCTGCCGGCCTCCTCCCCTCCCCGGCCCTGAGGCCTCCAGGCTGTCTCAGACTGCGCAGGTGCCCGGGCTCTTCACCCCACTCCCCACCGTGCAGGAGAGGTCCTGCAGGCTCCCCGGGGCCCACAGCCACGGCCTGGGGCTGGGGGGGACACCCTGTGGGCGCCTCAGCCCTTGCCCTGCCCTGAGTCAGCCCACCCCCACGTGGAGGGCGTCTTACTCGCCTGAGGGAGGCAAAACCTTGGCACTGAATTCCTAAGGATTCAGAAAGTTCTTCTTTGTCTCTAGCCTGAGTTCCTCATGCTTTTTCACACCCTCCAGCGTTTAGACCTGAGGTTTTCTTTGGTTACAGCTGTCTGGTAGCCTCTCAGGTAGGCAGTTTCCTATTCCTGACTCTAAACCCCAGTGTTCAGTATTGGCCCCAGGCCCTCCTTCCTAAAAGTTTACAAGGACCCTCCCAGCCCACCCCTGGATATTGACACCCCCGTTTGTCACTATCCTTCCTAAATCTTACACTAAGAAGTGGACTTGCCCAAACAACATCTTGCCCCCTGTTTTGGTTGCTGTTCCTGTATTTAAAGAACCCAGGAAAACTGGGTGGCCATGCCTCCCCCAGAAAGAATCACGGCTGCCGGGTATCTGCCACTGGCTATTTGCTAAAGCCCCCAAAGTCATCATCACTTCTGCTGGGTGCAGCCTGGCTCAGGCCCCCCAAAAGCAGGACCTCCCCTTGGTTGCTAAGGAGCTCCATCTTGACAGATTCTGGTCTTGGCTCCAAACAACTGAGATCCTCCAGAATGCTGATTGTGTAATTCCACTTCTTCACAGTCCCTTCTGGTCTCTCTTCAGCCTCTGGGTGCTGGGCCTGGAGCAGCACTGGGGACAATCTGTGTGTTGTTGGGTGTCATTCACCCATAACTCCCCTTCCTCTTAAGAGTTGACCCATGTGTGGGCTGCTCTGGCTCCTGAACTGCCCACTGCCATCAAGCCCTCTATTCATGCTGCATGGAGTCACTTAGACATGTCAGAGAGCCCCCCAGGAACCCTGGCTTCACAAGACATGCTCCCCACTTGGCCCAAACACTTCCAGCCGCCCTCCCTGACCCTGAGCACCACACGGTTCCCTGGCTCTATGCGCTTAGAACCCACACAGGCTCCAGAAACCAAAGAGGGACCTGCACTGCCCTCTCCCCTTTCCAGCTGTGATTAAGCAAGGGCCTGCCCTTCTGATGCCCAGGGCCTTGGTAAGAATGCCCGGAGGGAAGGAAAGGTGATAGGGACAGATGGTTTCCCAGTGCTAGTATTTAGCAGCTCTCTGCTCCAGGCCACAGGTATAGAGTGGTTGTGATTTCCAGACTCCCCCTGCATCAAACGGAGCAGAGAGAAGGAGCCCAGCACCCCAGCCAGCCTTTCCCTGAGTCCTGTGTCCACTAGCGGTAAGGGCCAAGGTGGGGTGAGCAGATGTAAGGAGGGGCCAGGCCACAATTCACTGAACAGAATTCATCCTGGATTGACTGGGAAAAAGGAATCACCTGACAATGGACATTCAAATTTAGTGATTTATATAGTGACTAAGATTGTGAATTTTGTATTTGAATGCAGCTCTGCCACTTAGCTGCTGGGTGACCCTGGGAAAGTTACTTATCCTCTCTGAGCCTGTTTTCTGATGTGGAAAATAAGAAAACTGCCACCTCCTAGCAGAGGTCATCCGGGCATTTATTGAGTGACCACAGTGTCCAAGGAGCCACAGGAGGACTGCCTCATTTCAGCCCCGTGGAGTGGAGTCTGTAGGCCCAAATCCATTTTCAAAAACCCTTGGAACCAGATTTTTTTAGAAGTAATTTATAATACAAAATGTTTATTTCATAAAGCCTCCAGGGGTGCACCCCATAATCAAATACATAAATGTATCTGCAGTGAAACACGTGACTGTTCACATAAAGACAAATGAGTAAACTGTGTTCACAGCCTCATGTCTTTCAGTCTTGTCACCAAATGAGATTTGAAAAACTATGGTTTTCAGGGATTGCTGGCTTCCTGAATGACAGGTAAGGGAAGTTCACTCGAGTTCCTGTCCCGTTTTATGGGCACAGCAATGGAAGCTGGGAGAGCTCAGGCACCATGCCCAAGGATGTCCAGTGAGTGTGAGTAGAGTCAGAGGTGGGACTGTGGCCTGGCTGCGTGCAGGGCCTGACCCCTCACCAGCCCTCACTCAGAGGCACAGGCACATGATGATTTTGCCTTTTGCTTCCTACCCCGTGCCTTCATCTCAGGTCTCCCCTTCCCTCCTGCGAACCCCTGAGGGCCAAACTGGGAAGGTTTAAGGTCTGTGAAAGAGCATAAAGTCCCGGAATGGGGCATGACTTTAGCAGGGGTACAGGAGTCTGACCTTGCTGTTTCCCACCTCCTTTTCTAGCTGGCCTCATATTCCAGCCCAGACCCTTTCCTTGGACAGTGTGCATCTCCTAGGCCTCACTCAGGTCAAGGTCAAAGGTCCATGTGGCTTGGTACCCGTGGGTAAGTGTGTGTTCGTGAGCCAAAGGGAGGCATGGAGGGGCAGCATTAGGCAGCATGCCCTGCAATGACAGAGGGACTGTGGGTCAGGGTGCTCTGGAAAAAAATCTCTTCACCTGGGTTCCCCCACCCATAGCCCCAGGCCGAGGGTGCAGGTATGAGGGCCTCTCTGCAGTGCAAGGGGCAGCCCCTCCCCCAGCTGCTTCCCCCAGGCTCTGAGGGTCTCAGGTTCACTGAGGACCTGTGCGCTGTACTATCCTCAGGTTCAACCATGCCCTCTACCCCGTCCTGTGGCAGGGCTCCCACCCTGAGATCAGGCAGCTTCCCAGCATTATGTATTAGTTTCCTATTAATGCTGTAACAAATCACACAAACATGGTGGCTTCTATAATCCCTAATTATTGTTCCACAGTTGTGGAGGTCAGCAGTCTGAAATGGGTCTCCCTGGGCTGCAACCAAGGTGTCAGCAGGGCTGGCTCCTTCTGGAGTCTAGGGGAGAATCAGTTTGCTTGTTTTTCCAGCACCTAGCGGCTGCCTGCACTCCTTAGCCCACAGCCCCTCTTACCTTCAAAGGCAGCAAGGGCAGGCAGATTCTCCCATTGCAGCATTTCGGTCTTGGCTTTTGCCATCACACTGTCTGACTCTCCTGCCTCCCTCTTCCATATGTAAGGATCCTTGTGATGGATTTGGGCTCACCCAGATAATACAGGATATTCTGCCTTAGGGTTTGTTGATTAACAGGCATTTCCATCTGTGGCCTTAATTCCCCTTTGCCCTGTCACTTAATATATTCACAGGTTCCTGGGATTCAGGTGTGGACACCTTTGGGAAGCTCTTGTCTGCCTACCACAGGCACCACAGAAGCCAGTGTAATGAGGGCGAAAAGTATGGGCCAGGGAAGGGTAAGGAGGCCTGAGCTCACACTTACTCTGCCACTTCATGCTGAGGTGACTGGGCAAGTGACTTAACCTCTCTGTGTTTCACTTGTCTCATTCATTCCACAACTATGTGTGGAATTCCTGCGGGGTCTAAGTTGGGGGATAAAGCAAGGACTCTTCCTCTCATGGACATTATTTCCTGTGGGAGGGTCATGGAATCAACATATAAAATGTCAGGTGGTGGGAATAATTATTATGGAGAAAAATAAGCAGGGAAAGGATACCAGGCTGGAAGGGTGGGGTAGGGTGCTAGTTTAGGAACAAATAAATGGTCATGGAAAACCCCTCTGAAGAGGAGTGAGTGGATCAAGGCCTACACATACCTTGTGGAAGGGTGTTCCAGGAAGGCAGCAACAGTAAGTGCAAAGGCCCTGAGGCAGGAGTGTGCCTGAAGTGTTTTTTAGGAGCAGCAGGGAGACCAGGCTGGTGGAAGGAAGCAAGTTGTAGGTGAGAATTCTGGAGAGGCAATGCGGGCTGCAGTAAGTAGGGCCTTGTGAGCCAAGGGAGCACTTCGTATTTTATGCCAAACAAGCATGTTCAAGTTGACAGTAATAATTTTTCGGGGATTAATGTTTTGTAAAAACACGTAGAAGCGGGTCTGATTATGTAACAGCAGCTTAATGAACGTAAATCCCTAACTTCCAGAAGAGAGACCATGTCTCTTCAGTGAGTCTAGGAACTCCCTCAGGCTGGACTGTGTCTCCCTCCTCAGCCTAGGGAAGCCCCCGACAGATCACCTTCAGGCTGGGGAGCCTGGGCCTGCAGGGGCCTCCTCCGGGCTCAGAGGCTGTAGCCCCGCGCCTGGACATCTCCTGGCAGCCTCTAGCATCAGTGGCCCTATTTGTGTTTGCTTACTTAGCATTTCCTCACAGGCCCCGCCGTTCTGTTAGTTTTTGTTTGCTTCTTTATTAATTGGCTTTTCTGTTCTTGGGATTATTTGATTTCCACTTAATTGCTCGATGACAGCAAGGTTTATTTTTGTTCTTTTATTTCCCAGAAGAGGGTCAGATGCTAGAGAGTGGGCCAGACTGGCAGATCAAGGTTGTGTGGTCTCCTCAGAGACAGCCTTCCTCCCCCACTGGGGCCCCTGGCCACCTGTCACCCTACAGGGGATAGAGGTAGAGGCCAGAGGCTGCCACGACTTTAAGTCGCAGGCCAGCGCCTTAGAGGCCAAAGGGCAGGGCCCCCTCGGTGTTTACAGCCAGAGTCTGGTGCCGCCAATCCAGTTAAACACCTGTCTTCAGAGAGCGCTTCCTGAGCCCTGGGCCTGGCCTGGGACACATGCTATCTCACTTACTCTCAGCAGCCTTTAAGCGGGAGCCTTAGTGTCCCAGCTGAGGCTGCAGCAGTTCCTAGGGAACTTGCCTGGGGTCACAGAGCCAGCCTGGGCCAGGAAGGAAGCTGGGTCTCTCACATGCAAGAAGCAGACCCTTCCCCTTTTCCAGGGCTGAGCCCTGCCTTAAGGAACAGAGGCTGGAGTAGTGACAGACAGGTAAACCAGCAGTGAACGTGAAGGTAGAGGGTCCTGCCACATGCCCGAGTGAGAAAAGCAAGTTAGAAAAGCAAAACAAAATAAAAACCCTACAGCAGGTTCCCACTTTGGGTAAATGAACACTATACATATACATACAAGGTAAGATTCATTCCTGCAACAGATAGAAGAGTTTTGTGTGCCTGTTTCCCATCTAGTTACTAGGAAACAGAGTGGTGACAAAGGTAAGGCCCAGCTCTCATGAGACTTACATTCCAGAGGGAAAGATGGATCATAAATGAGTAAATCAGCCATTGGTAAATTTAAATAATAATACATGCTGTGAAACAAAAATAGAAAGTACCCTTAAATGACATGGCCTTGCAAGACTTCTCCAAGGAGGAGGCATTTTGTTGAAATGTAAGCAATGAGGAGCTAGTAATGTGACAATCAGGGCAAGATTACTCCAGGCAAAAAACACAGCCTGTGCAAAGGTCCTGTGGTGGGAATGAGTTTGTCATGTTTGAGGGACAGACAGAAGCCTGGTGTGTGAGTGGTGGTAGCATGGAGGGAGGATGAGGTCAGAGAGGAAAGCAGAGGTCAGATCAGAAAACACTTTGTCAGCTAAAGTAGGGAGTTTGGATTTTCTGTTAATGGGATACTCTGGAAGGATTTTTAACTATGTGTCAAAGAAGGTCGGTGGGGCACCTGTTGTGCTTTGAACAGGGCTGACAGGTGGTTTGGCTTTGCTTTGTCTGATGCCAGTTCCTACTCCCATAAGCTTCTCATCAGCTCACACCATCCATCTAACTAGTTCTCAGGGTCCAAATTCCAGATTCCCAGGAGCAGGGCTCTGACTCGCTCAGAATAGGTCAGGGGTCCACTCCTGGTCCGAACAGCTGTGTTAACAAGAGTCAGAGTTCCTTGGACAAAGGACCATTCTGTTAAAAATCCTGGGTCTCTAAGAATGGGCAGTGGGATGGGCCTAGAAGCAATGGCTGACATTGAGCCATCTGCTGTTCTAAATGGACCTCTGCTTGCCAGCCTCTGAGTCTTTGCTCATGTTGTCCCCTCCACCTGGAACACCCTGTTCAAAAATCTTTGTCGTCTGTGTCTAGACCAAATTATTTGATTCCTCCAGTCCCCTAATTGGGTAACAAGCCCCATTTCCCAAACACCTTGAGATGGTCCCCTGCTCTATCTCTTGCACGGGGGCCACATGCAGTGAACCACCCCAGGCCCTTCCCCACACACCCTGGTTTGATCCTGCCCTGCCCGGCCTTGCACTGGGTCCAACATCCTTCACACCAGTCTATCTCCACGTTGAGCCCAGTGCCCAGCACCAGTGTTCAAACAAATTAAAGAGGGGAGAAGCAAATGCAAATTCTGAAGACCCAGTCAGGCCTATAAGGCAACCTTACTGGGAAAAACCATATGCCAGCCTTCTCTGCAGCAAGCTCACTCCATCTCCAGACTGAGATTTCTCCTCACCAGCCCAGCCACTGAGCTAACCCCACCTCAGACAGACCTATCTGGCCAGATTCCCCAGGCTGCCCCTGACCCTTCCTAATGCCTAATCTGAAGCTTTCAGGGTTGGGGGTACGCCCCACCCTCCCACACCCACAAAACCTTTCAGAGACGACAGACTCAAAGTGCTCAGATGCTGAAATCAGCATTCCTGCACTTCTCCCCCTTGCCCACAGAGCAGGGTCTCCCTTGCACTTTACATTCTCAGCCCCATTAATTTTTCCCCTCTCTCTTCTTTTTTAAACACAGGGTAATTTAAACCTTCTTTTCACAGATGAGAGGCTTTCAACTTTGGCACTAGAACGTGGGCTTGATTTATTTTTTTGATCCTCAGAATAGATTTTTCCCAGCCAGTGGGACCCCCGGATCCTCTGGGCCAAGCTGGAGCTTTTACAGACTTGATTGTTCAGACCCAGGGAGGAGAGGTGACCTGCTCAAGGTCACACAGCACAGGTGGGACAGGAACCCAGGTATTCTGAGTCCCCTCATTTGGATTTCTTTCCTTACTCTGCTGTAGATGGTCATTTTTTATGACTTGCAGAAACTATGCACTTAAAGAGATAAATGGGAGGTAATGGAACAACAGCATGACCTGAGAGATGGCAGAAGCCAAACCAGCTCCTGCACCAACTGGCACAATGATGAGGATGGTCCCTGTGTGAACAGAGATGGTGGCTGGGCCTGGGGGCAGTATGAGAACCACAGCCACCTCCAGAGCCTCCAGGGTGCCATTCAGGGCCTTGAGCACTGAGAAACAGGGGCTCTGGTGCCTCTGCCCTCCTGACGCTCCAGGGGAGGCTGGGAGACCAGGCTCTACCCGTTGTTCTAGCTACTGCCAGAATAGAAGCCAGGAGTTGTCGAGGGCTTGCTCTGGGCCAAGCCCTTTGCATGCATCACCACATCCAGCCTTCCCAACAATCCTGTGGGGTTGGCACCATTTCACTATGCCCACCCTACATATAAGGACACTGAGGCCTAGAGGAACTCAGCAGCTGGTTGAAGGTCACACAGCAGGTATATGGTAGCATTGGATTAGGGGGCTGTCTGACTCTAGAGCCCATGCTTTTTGCAGTACTGCCCTGGGATTCGATATTTTAAAATTCTACAGGCTGGAAAGGGTCAGAGTAGGTCTGCAGAATTATTTCATGCTTTAAAAAGCAATGCTGTCTGTCTGGAGTGCCAGAGGCCATGCGAGCCAGCAGACAACGGCCTTCAGTGCCAACCAGCATGAACCCAGCCAGCAGCCCTGGCAGATCAGACACACACCTGGGGTCTGGCCTCTCTTCTCTTCCCCCAAGAGCTGGCCCTTCTGGTGTGGACAGGGCAGCCCCTCCAAGGCCAAGACACCTGTGCACTCCCAGAAATGGGGGCAGGGGGGAATCAGTGTAGAACTAGATGGAAGCAGACTGGGCCAGGACGGTGAAAGAACCCGCCCCCTGTCCATAACATCCTGAACTGATGGACGAGGGGGAGGGAGAGGAGGCAGCTCTGGCAGGTAGAACAATGAGGCTGCTCTCTCCTCAGAGCTTGGATCCCAGGAGGATTCTCCATGGGACCAGTGCCCACTTGCCCAGAGCAAAAACCCACGACCTTGAGATGACCATCAGGGCCCTGAGTGACCTGGGCCCTGTGACCCCTGCCCCAACCTCATATCCTGCTTGTTCTTGGTGCTTGCTGCCCCCAGGCCTCCATGCACTGCAGGCCCAGGCCCACCTCTGGCCTCGGCAGTTGGGTCCCCCTGCCGGCACCTCCCCCGGACATCACACCGTTGGCTCAGATATCGTCTTCTCAGAGAGGTGGCCCCAGCAACATGACTGAGAATTGCAAGTCAGCCCCCCACGGCCTCACCCCCACTTTCTTGCCTGTTCCCCTTAATACCTCTGGCCACCTCATATACTTTGTCCCGGTGTATGTGTGCATTTGTTTGCCACACATAGGCTCTGTGAAGGCAGGGGTTTTGTCCATCTTGCTCTGACCCTAGAGCTTCTAACAGGCCTGGCACATATGTGCATCATCAGTGATGAGGGCTCGAGCTCTCAAGGCAGGAGCCAGCGGCTCCCGGACCATGGTCTCAGCTGGTGTTGGAAGGGGCACGAGGAAGTCACATCCAGGTGCCCGTAAAACCATCCCACTGTGAACAAGTGTGTGAGGGCAGTGTGGAGCCAGGCCAGGCCCTCGTGTTGGCAATCATGAAAAACAAGTTG